CGGGCCGCGGGACTGGAGGCCCATAGCTGGCTTAGGGACTCCCCCAAGGATGGGGTTAGGAGTCCGTCTCATCCACAAGGGACCCGGGACGCCTGTTAAAGGAAGTGGCCACTCAGTCGGGCTCTGAGGAGTGAGGGTTTCAAAGGAAGGACAGCAGGGTGGGCAGAGGGCCCAGGCTGAGCAGAAGCCCCAGCACGGAGGCCCAGGACCGTCTGGGCAGCGGATGCTCCAGGGGACGAAGGCCACAGAGGAGGACGGGACCTGCTTGAGGAGGGCTTCCCAGACTGGCAAGAGGGGGCACGCCACCCCCCCGCCCCGGGGAGGACTGGGGCCCGGGCTTCCCGGTGAGGAGTGACCTAAGCCTTTCCCCGCACAGTTTGTGAAGACCATGGTGGTGGTGGTGGTGACGTTTGCCATCTGCTGGCTGCCCTACCACCTCTACTTCATCCTGGGCAACTTCCAGGAGGACATCTACTGCCACAAGTTCATTCAGCAGGTCTACCTGGCGCTCTTCTGGCTGGCCATGAGCTCCACCATGTACAACCCCATCATCTACTGCTGCCTCAACCGCAGGTGGGTCCTCACCCCGGCCCCTCTCCTCAGCCCCCAGGGCCCCACGGCCCGGCCCCATCTGGCCTTCCCTGAGCAGCTTGAGCTTGCGCCCCTGTGTTCCTGTGCCCCCTAATCCTACATGGGATCGCCACCCTCCCAGGAAGCCCTCAGCACCCTCCTCCTCCCGGTGTGAGCCCCCCTCTTCCCCAAAGCCTCGCCCGTTGTCCTCACCCTGTGTCTGCTCCTGCTCTCTCCGCTGAGGTTACATCTGGAACAAGGAGAGGGAGGGACAGAGAGATGGAGGGAGGGGGAGAGGCAGAGAGAGGCAGAAGGACAGACAGGGAGGAAGGAAGGAGCCAAGTAAAAGACTTCATCTGTTCTGACATTTTCATAAAATACATTTTATTGATGTCAGAAGAGGGAGAGAGGAGAGAGAAACATCAATGATGAGAGAGAATCATTGGTCGGCTGCTTCCTGAACACCCCACACTGGGAATTGAGCCCACAGCGTAGGCAGGTGCCCTGACCAGGAATCAAACCGTGACTAGGTCGGCACTCAACCACTGGGCCATACTGGCTGGGCTGCTCTGACACTTTTAAGCGCTCCTGCACTGAGGAAGAGCCAAGGACTGTCCTTGGGCGAGGAGCGCACCAAGCAGCGGGGAGCACGCGACCGGAGACCCAGAGCCAAGCCTGGAGGGGGGGGGGGGGTGGCGGTCTGCCCCCGGGGCAGGTCACGGTGCATTTCTTGCCCCCGGGGCATAGGGGGCAGCTGGGATGCGACTTTGGCAGCGACAGTCAGGGAGGATGAAGTCTCCCTGACACCACCTGGTTCTCCCACTTGTGTGCCGCTGAGGAAGCAAAGAGTCCGGGGACGGGCTGGCCTTGGTGCTGGGCACTCGGGGAGGCGGGAGGAGCTGGGCCGGGCAGAGACCCCGGCACCAGGAGTCCCACTTGCAGAGGGGGCCGGGCAGCCTCAGAAACCCCGAAGGAGCTGAGAGGTGGACACTGAGTCTGACCTTCACTGAGAGTGACATGGGCAAGGTCAGCCCCGGGCCTCTTTGCTCAGGCCTTTTTGTCACCTCCCTGTCCATGTCAGGCCACTCCTGCCCACCTGGGGAAGGCCAGGAGGACGTGAGAAAACGTAGTCTTTTGAGTGTTTAATGGGTGGCAGGGCCCTCCATTGTCTCTTGCAGGGTAAGCAGATAATAGAGGGAGGGAGGCGTTCCTTCCCATTTTACAGATGAGAAAACTGAGTCTCGGGAAAGATGGCTTTTTTTTTTCTAAACTCCTACAGCAAGCAGGGGACCCAGCCTTCCATGTCTCTCCAAGGCCTGTAATCTTATCCCCGCATCACCCATCTCTCTGGCAGGCAGCCTGCAGGAGAACTGGGAGACAGGGGCTGTCACACGAGGGGCCACCAGCGCTCAGTGTCTGCTCCCCAAGGACACGGCCGCCAGGGCTCCATTCCCCCAAGTTCCTGAGATAAGTTCTGAGTCGTTCAGTGTTGGATGCCGCTGGTGCTGCTGGCAGGAACCTTTGTTGAGAACGTGCTCACCACGGGGCTGTGTGTGCCAGGCACTGTCCCAGGCCCGGGGAAGACCCGGTGAACAAAAATAACGCTCCTCGCCTCAGGGAGCTGGCATTCCAGCGAGGGGGCAGGACAGCAAGCAGAGTGAGTGCATGAGGCATCAGGCGGGAAGGCCCACGGGAAAGAGAAAGCACAAGGGCTGGGTGAGGGAGGACAGGAAGGGCCGGGACAGGTAGTGGGCATGGAGTACACTTTTTCAGGGTGGTCAGGGTAGGCCTTCTGGAGGAGTCTTTTGAGCAAAGACTTGAGGGTTGAGGGGACCCTGTCTGCGGAGGAGTTCTAGGCAGAGGCCTTGGGGACAAGGGGAGGACTTGGCCGGGACTCTGACCCCGGAGCCCTGAGGGGCTGAGCCCAGGAGGCACACTCTGACTTCCCTTTGGAAAGAGTCAAGTCTGGCAGCTGTGCCGGAAGTGGACCACAGCGAGGCCTGGGGAGGGAGGGAGGGAGGGAGATGGTTAGGCTAGTGCCATCATCCAGGGACAGACAGAGGGGGTTAGGCTGGGGTGAGACATGGTGAGTCTGGGCATTGCCAAGGCAAAGCCAGCAGAGTGGATGGAGGGGAGGTGGCATGTGAGAGGAGACCATGGGTGACTCCCAGGCTCTTGGCCTGAATAACCGGAAGGACGTGGAAGGAGCCGTCAGTGGTCAGGAACCGAGATGCGGACGACGCTGAGGAAGGGGTGTGGGAGGGTGGTGGCTAGCTCAGGCAGGGACGTGCTGGGCGTGGGTGTAAGGGGCAGAGTCACCAAGCTCCCACAACAGAGGCATCTGTCGGGCCACGCCCTGGGGTGCCGTAGAGCTGCAAGGCGAGGAGCAGAAGGCAGGCCTGCTCTTCTGGATCGTGGTGCCGTGTGGTTCCCGGGGTCAGACGGGAGTTCTCTCCCTCTCGGCAGTCACGCAGGGTCTCATCGACTTCTCCTCCTCCTCTCCTCCTTCTCTGTGCCAGCTGTTTCTCCCGCTCCCGACCTGCTTCCTCTCATCCCCATTGTGTGTGTGAATCTCTAGTGACAGCTCGGTGATGCCGGGGAGAGAGTTATTTTTTATGCCAACGTACCCGAATTTCATAGTTCCAAGCGTCCGTTTTCTTGGGAGAGCACCCTTATTCCACCAACATTGCCAAAGCCCCAATTTTTTTTTTTAAGACTCCTATGAACACCCCTTTAGAAGTCAGTGAGCAAGCCAAAAAAGACAACCTGTTGCTTCTATATAGTTTCTGTTGCTTTTTGTCTGTTGGTTATAACAAAGGGTGTGCTTCCGCTCGGTCACCCGCTTCCATCACCAGACTTCGCTCCCGATCACCACTGACCATTTCAAAAGATCAAACCCACTCAAGACTCTGTCTCCTGGAAAGAGGGCCCCTGAGCAATGGTGGCTCCTGGGAGAGAGGTAGTGACTTCCCTCCAGGGGAGCTGGGCCACTGTCCCCCGACCCCCAACCCCCGCTCAAGCTGCCCTCTCTGCCCCCCACTCCCCAGGTTTCGCTCTGGATTCCGGATCGCTTTCCGCTGCTGCCCCTGGGTCACGCCCACCGAGGAGGACAAGATGGAGCTGACTCACACGCGCTCCCTCTCCAGGAGGGTCAACAGGTGCCACACTAAAGAGACCTTGTTCATCAGTGGGGACGTGGCCCCATCTGAGGCTGCCAGTGGGCAGGTGGGGGGTCCCCAAGAGGGGGTGCTCACCGAATTCTGAAGCCTCGTGCCTGGCTGCGGGGTGAGGCCGACACCCTCCGAGGAGCAGCGGGTCAAGGGAGCAGCTCTGAAAACTTGGCCCCTGCCTCACCCTTCAATTTGTGGATGGAAAAACAAGACGGGTCTGAGAACTCCACAGCAGATGCTAGCTTTAAGGGGACCCAATAGGAATCAACGAAGACAGTCTGAGCTAGCACGGCTAACCCAGGAGTTGCCAGCTCAGACGCATTCCTGGGGCATAAACATAATGTGTAACTGGACCCAATCTAAAACGAGAACTGCCAAATATGGTGATAAAAGGCCACTGGTTTCCAGTGCTGGGTAACAGGGAGTAGTGGGGACTGTGGAAAAGGAGAGGACAGAGGGATCCGAAGAGGACAGCAGCTGGTCAGCTCTGGGCAAGCGCTGCCATGTGGTCATGGGAGCTCACTGTTGCCAGATCTTCTCAATCCGAGAAGCCAGAAATCCAAACGTGTGCCACCTCCGGACTTGCCGCATGTGGCTCTCATTTCTATAGATGTCGGGTAAACAGAGCAAAGCACCCCTGCGGGCAGCACCTAATAAGACCCTGATTCTCCTCCGGTGAGAAGGTGGTAAGAAGATTCTTATCTTGCAAAGCGTCACCTATGAGTCAACCGGCGGGCCCCTTTGCCTCGGCATCTAAGAACGCGGACCCAGCCCTAGAGAGATGGTGAGGAAGAGTCAAAGGGATTGAAAACTGGGGAGAAAACAGAAGGCAAAGGGAGACCCAGGTGTGCTGCCTCCGACACATCACTTGGACCCTCAGCCCGTCCCCTCCGCGGGGCCGTGTGCTGTGAGGATGGCGGAAGCGGTGCCTCTGAACCACCAGGCGGAGCGCAGGTGAAGTGCACCATGGGCAGCGGCCATGGTTTCTGTTACCCGCATACCGGCCGTTGTACACGAACGGCGCCTGCCATCGGCAACTCTGCTCTCCCCGTCCCTTCCACACCAAGAAGGTGGCAGCCAGAAGCCACCAGCCGCCCCGACGCCCAGGCAGCTCCCGGCTAACGAATGTGACCTTCACCTCCATCCTCCCCCAGGCCCGGTGGCCACAGGACCCCCCCACCCCACCCCACCACCGGTCTGGTTTTCGCCGCACCCACGCCCGCCCTCCCCAGCCCAGGCCGCCAAGTAGCACGCTGTCTCTGAATTGGTACAAAGTTTACTAGGTCGTACGACATGGCTCACAGAAGCGATGGGGAGTTCCAAGGAGGGCACTGTTTGGTTGGTTCCTTTTACACGGGAGACAAGACACGTTGCCACAGGACCGCCCACCTCCCCCACTCCCCCACCCCAAGACAGAATGCAAGACAGTCACCACGTGGCCCACAGACACACAGCCCAGTGGCGCGGACACGCCGGACGGGAACCCGGGGAGGCCAGACAGCAGCGGGCGCCGGGACGGGAGGCGGCAGTGTCTGCTGGTGGTGATACATCTCACACCAGGGGGGGCGGTGCGTCCCCACGGACGGGGCTGCGGACGCCCAGGAGGCCTGTCGGACGGTGGGACGTGTCATCTCAGGCCAATAAATAATGTCGGGCGAACGCATAAATTAGAACGACACTTCACACGTGGGGCCGGGCAGCCAGGGTGAAATCAACTCATGCAGGGGGGTGGGGGGCAGAGGGCCCGGGTGAGAGGTATTAGCAGCAGCACACACGCCGTTCTGCACCCTGCGCTGGCGCCGGTGGCCGGTCCGCTCTCCTCCCGCGGTGGCAGTGGCGGGCTCCGGGGCTGGCGGCCCAGCCCCGCGCGCGGGGAGGTGGGGGGTCGCCGCTCCGAGAGAGGAAGTGAGTGTCGGAAGGGCCGCGGGCTGGGGCCGGGGCTCTTAGCTGCTCTTCTCCTCCCGGAGCCGGACGCCCACGGCCGTGATGAGGGCGGCCCCCTTGCCGCTGCCGTCCTCGGACAGGAGGAAGGACACGTTGCACTTGGGCGACAGCTCCTTCACCGTCTGGTGCATGATTCTGGAGAAGCTGCACAAGAGGAGACACGGGCAGGCAGGGTCAGAGGAAGAGACGTGGGACCCCCCCCCCCCGCCCCCAAGATGCTCCAGGACCCTAATAACGAGGAGGGCACGCAGGGCGGGAGGGGCTGCTCAGCAGCGGCTGTGGCTTACTGAGAACGGCGGGTGGGTCTACAGACAATCCTGTCGTTACAACTCTCAGCTGAGAACCCAAAACCAAACGACTCCGCACAGCACAGGAGGGCCAGGGCGTGGGGAATACACTGACACACGCCTGTCCTCCAGGACACACCTCACTTCCACAGCAAGAAGCTGGCAGTGAGAAACCAGCAAGAAACCACCTTAGGAGTCAACGAAGACAGTCTGAGCTAACACGTCTTTTAAACCAAGAGCTGCGAGGGCCTCCATGGCCATGACATCATCTGCCCTCTGACCCCCAGCCCATGGCCAGCGCCAGCCCAGCGCCAGCGGCCACCCGTGGGAGGCCTGCTGGTGAAGGATAATCTCTGGGTGAGAGGCGACTCAAGGCTCTTGCATTTTTTTTGTTGAAAATGAGGCAGGCCAGGCTGAGGATGCTCAGGACATCGGGGGACTGCCCTTTGCTGACCAACATACACTTCACGGACATAAAACTTCCAGGCCTGCCGGCAGCCATTATCCGACGAGGACGAGGAGACGTGGCCTGAGCTTCCACATGGTGGTGCCAGGACTAAACCCAGGCGTGTGTGGCTCCAAAGCCTGGCTGTAACCACACCTGGGCGCTACCCCAGGGGAGGAAGGGGATAGCTATGGAGGTGGAGAGACGGGTCCATCCCCAGCCATGGCCACAAGGTAATGCCTAGGAGGAGTTGGGTAACACGGCTTTTAAGGAGGGTGACGGTATGGCCTGGTTTACCTGGGAGGGTCCCGGTGTCATTCCTAATAGCACTCTCCTCGCGACAAAAGTACCGACGTTCAGACAGTAAATCGTATGGTCACTACTCAGAAGAGCCAAGTTTTGGGACATGCTCGGCACAGAGAGCAGAGGAGGTGTCGGACATGAGACTGAAAGGAGTTCCTCCCCAGCCGCCTCCCTGCTACAAGCCCAGAGCCAACGCTGCCCCCATGTCTCCTGACAAGCTCTGATTTAGCAGATCAACAGGACAATGAGCCCCTCTCCCCCTTTCCTCACTCCCTCTCCCCACTGACCCAGTAGCCTCCTGGCCCGGCTGCAGCTAACCAGGCTGACGGGGAGGTCCACACCCCTCTCCCCCTCCTTTCCCGCTGCCCATCTGGACCCTGCCCGACCTAACTGGGCCCGGGGGATCCGCCATGGAGAGGATCAGCCATGACCCTGGCCAGGGAAAGCGCTTCTCGGTTCCACTTCAGAGCAGTCCGCGACCTCATCCCAGACCGGCCCCCGGCCCTGAGCGCACAGCCGTCAGGCGAGGCGTCTTCCCGGTGGGACTCGCATCCCGACCCCCCATGACCGACCAGGGACCTCGCGGCCCGGGGAGCTCCGCCGGCCCCAGGGGACGCCCACTCACTGCGGGTGGAGCTTGTAGAGCGTCCCGTCCACGCCCACGGTCACGGCCAGGTGGTCCAGCCCTCTGTTCTCTCGGATCTTGTCCACCACGGCGGCCATGCCGGCCCCGCACAGCTGCGCGGCCCTCCTGGACACCACGCCGCACACCATCTTGACAAGGATGCTGTCGTCGCAGGTGCTGTTGAGGCCCAGCTGCTGGAGGATGGCCCGGACCTGCAGCAGCGCCAACCGGTCGCTGGGAACAGAGCGGGCGGGGGGCTGTGTGAGGTGTGACGCGCCAGCGCAGCCTGCGGGCCCAGTCACTGTACTGCCCACCCAGGAACTGGTCACGTGGAAGCTGGTTTTTCCCCATCAAAGTAACACGGATCTGTACATTTTTAAAGGATCCCCCAAGGGACTACCTGTTAAAACGGTAGGAAACCTGGCGAATCCAGAAAAATAAATACGGACAATGAAAGCCATCCACAATCCCAACACCGGGGGAAACGCTATTGACACCTATAATATGCTAAATATTAAATATTAAAATGCTAAATAAAAGTGCAATATGCTAATTGACCAGATGTCCTTCCAGACAAAGCCAGGGCTACGAGGAAGCCGGTGCCGGCAGCCGGGGGAAGGAAGGCCTACCCTATTAAGAATTTCATGCATCGGGCCTTTAGGTTTAATATATTTCCTCCCAATCTGTTTTTCCTGAGTATCTTTAAACAGCATCTCTGTTCTTATGCACCACGGGCTTGCCCTTTACATGTGGTTTTCTTTATTGCTTTTTTCCCCACGTCACAGGTCTGAGCCATGTCCCACCGCCTCACCTAGGAACAGGATTGAAAACGGCTGCCAGAGTCTTCCATTCTGGGATGCACCAACCTTATTTAGCCAGTTTAGAGAAATTTTAAGTTTTCTGTTATCTCATTTTCTGCTAGGAGGAAGCAGCATACTTTTTGTTTGTTAATCCTCACCCAAGGATATTTTTTCCATTGATTTTTTTGTTGTTGTTGTTGAGAGGGAGGAAGAAGGGAGAGAGAGAAAAATATTGATGTGCGAGAGACACATCGATCGGATGCCTTCAGGACGCACCCCCAGGACCGGGGATAGAATCTGCAACCCAGATACGTGCCCTTGACTGAGAATCAAACCTGAGACCCTGTGGTGCATGGGCCGATGCGCTAACCACTGAGCACCAGCCAGGGCGGAAGTAACGTTCTAGTGAAGTTTCCTATTCGTAAGTCTTGGATACCTATCGCCAAGCGCCTTTCGGAGAGCGGCACCACTTCCCTCCAGCCGCAGCGGAGCGAGTGGCTGTCCTCGCCCCCCGGGGAAAGGATCCCTTTTTAAGACACCTGACAGTCTGGTAAGGATGGCACCACGCTGTGGTCTCACCTGCATCCTTCTCTCATAGGGAGGACGACCTTTTTTATCTTTTTCCATGTGTCTGTTGGCCATAGGAACTATTATTTGTTTATCTGTCTCATTCTTACTAAACTGAAAGAGGTGGTGATGACTATGTTGGTGGTCAGAGCAGCCAGCCCTGTGTGAGGACTCGCTGTGTGACGGGTGCTTTACCTACATCACCACGTTTCCTCTTCAAACAGACCAACCGACAGATGTGATTTTAGAGTCGAGGAAACTGAGCCTGGGAGAAACTGAGCAGCTCACTCGAAGCACACAGCCAGGGGGACCGAGCGGAGCTCCAGGCCAGGCCTGGTCCAGCCCTGGTGAACTGCGCCCCACTCTGCACCTTATCACGTGCAATGCAAATGGCCTCCTTTTTCAAATGTTACACGTTTGATTACTGATTTAACGTATAGAAGCTATTAGTAAAATGTGGCTTTTTTTTTCTTTATGATTTCTCATGTACCTCATTATAACGTTTTGTGTCTGACCTTCCCATGTACGTGGAGTTCCCATACATACATACGTAGTGAGGTTTATGTTGTCTTGTTTTTCTGTGTCACATGGATTTAATTATTAGAGAGCTAAGAGAACTGGGGAGGGCAGAGGACGTGGGGGAAAGCGGTGAGCAGGTGTTGCTAATGTGACCGCTGTAAAGACGGGTAGTTTTTCACACTTGTTTTTTGTTTTGTTTTGTTGTTTTTTTGTTATGCTTTTGCAAGACTACGTTCATCTTCTCTCAGCGTGAAAGACAGCAAAAGCAGAGATGAAATGCTTCTATGAGAAAAATGGGAGGAAGGCAGAGGCAGCTTGTTGGGGGGCATGCACACGGGGTGGGCACGCTATTCAATCACAGATGGCATGAGGGAAGGGCTGGACAGGGGTGCTGGGCTCTGCAGGACTCCATGTCCCTTCAACACAGGTATCAGTAATGCATCTCCACGATCCTGAGCCTGAGTCCGTATAGCCTACTTACACACATAACCTCTAACAAATATCATGCCCCAACGTAAAGGACAAATAAGAGGAAAGTCACTTATAATAAAATGATAGGAGAGAAAAAACGATCTCACACACGGCGCCTGGTGACCCCTGGTCAGGCCGACCTCCGCCAGGCCCCTCAGGAAAGCCCCGCCCCGCTCACCTCTCGATCTGGGAGAGATACTTGGTCTGGAAGATGCCCCGCGTCTTCAGCGACTCCGAGATCTTCCCTCGGAAGAGGAACCCCTTCTTGGTGAAGTCAAGCAAGATGTTGCGGACAATCTCGCCCAGGTACATGCCGCTGATCATCTTCTCGTACCTGGAACGGGAGGCGGGTGTCTGCAGTCACCCCGGGCGTCTGGCTGCCCATCCAGGGCATCGCCAACCCGCACCCCGAGCCCCGTGCTTCCCGCAGAGGCAGAGCGTGAGGCCAGGAAGGCCTGAGGCAGCCTCACTCCTCGCCGGGATCAGAAATGAAACCACCAGCACTCGTGTCTAAGAGCCGGAGCACCTCCCTCCTCGCCTAACGTCCTGCTTTTGCCTGAAAAATCCCACTCCCGCTCTCAGCTCCGACGTCCCTTCTCCAGAGGCCTGACTGCCCCCCCACCCCCCACCGGACCAGGTTGTATCTGCAGATCTCGGACCCTGTGCCCCTCCCTTGTCCTTCACAAGGCACGCAGGTCCACTGCCGCTCATCCCTGCAGCCAGAGCCTCGAGGAGGTGGATCATGTGCGCCTTGTTCAGCTCTGACTCCAAGGGCCTACCACAGCACAGCGCTAGGCTCTCTGCCAATAAATATCTACAACAAGCAAACGGCTGGGTCTTAACGGACCAGGAAGACAAGGAGGGGAAACTTCCTCCTGGAGTGTTGGAAGGTTCTGCAAAAGCCCAGAGTACTTGGTCAAGCACCGGGCAGAGCCGGTGACTGCCATGCCGGCCAGAGGATCCAGGCAGCACGGCACCCCGTGCGGCTGCTCCTGGGGCTTTATTTCCTGCCTCTCCATGCGCAAGGGCCTCAAGAAACGACAGAGGGTTTAAATACGTCCGTGACACGCACCCAATCCCAGCGTCTCCAACCCGGGAAGTCCGGATACTCTGGGAAGAGTAACCCGGATGCTCCAGATTCCGGGTGGTCCACAGGAAAGAACAAACAGGAACTGGTGCTATAACGATCAGTTCCCATCCAGTCCTTCCATTCCATCCAGGAGACCTTCTCAGTCAGGGGCTGATACGGCTTCCACCCCTTCCAGCCCCTGCGGATCCCTCTTTTAGCAAAGCGGGTCTTCGTTTAGGCAGTGGTTCTCCACCTTCCTAATGCCGAGGCCCTTCAACACAGCTCCTCACGTTGTGGTGACCCCCAACCGTAACATTATTTTCGTTGCTACTTCCTGTCATTTTGCTGCTGTGATGAATTGTAATGTAAATACCTGTGTTTTCCGATGGTCTTAGGCGACCCTGCTAGCGGTTATGAAGTAGCATTAGAAAGGTTGAGAACCACTGGTTTAGAGCCTTTGGTAGGCAACAGTACTAGAATTAAATAACGTTTTCCACTTTATGATTACCATCTATTTATGGTAATATTGAGTTTGCTGGGATTTTTTTCTCTCCCTCATTATGTTTAAGTAAAGAATATAGGCTGAATTACAGAAAGACGTTAGTAATAGCCTAGCTGGTCTTTGGAGAAGGCAGAATCTTGAGGGTGTCCTAGAGAGCAACTTACATTCAGGAGGTACTACCCAGCCCTCCGTCCTGCTCCTACGGGCACAGCTGAGACCCACACATCCTGCTGGTGGCAGAGGATGCAGAGTCCTGGGAACCTGTCTCTATGCTGGGGACACTGCCATCTCAGGGAGGGCTCCTGAGACCCGAGCCGAAATGCTCCCAACGGCCACTAGGAGGTGCAGGAGGTCCCTACGGGAAGGAAGAATTGCACTGCGCCTAGGCCTCACCCTTGACCAGAAGGCACCCACCCCCACCCCCACCCCCAGCCCCACTGGCAGGCCTGAATTCCCCCTGCCCTTTGACAACGGCAGGTCAGGCGTGCTCTCCTTCCACCACACAAGACAAAACCTACTGACCCAGAGGAAGGCTGCAATGCTCCAGGATGAACACGGCCTCTGACGGGAAGTGGTGCGGCCCCCGACCCTGTCCCCAGAGGCGCCTGGAGAGGACACCAACCGGGGCCCTCTTGTACCATGTTGGGGGCCCATCCCTGTTCCTGCTCTCCTTGGGCCAAAAGCCAAGGTCGGGAGGACACCGAGGGAGCCTCTGTGTAGACCCCGCTCCTACTAGAATAAGGTGACCAGACATCCTGCTTTTTAACAATGTGTCCCGCGATTTTTTTGCTTTTTTAAAACGCCGTGGGACAGCCGAGACTGGTTTGGCTCAATGGATAGAGCGTCGGCTTGGGGACCGAAGGGACCCGGGTTCGATTCCAGTCAAGGGCATGTGCCTTGGTTGCGGGTATATCCCCGGTGGGGGGTGTGCAGGAGGCAGCTGATTGATGACTCTCTCTCATCGATGTTTCTAGCTCTCTGTCTCTCTCCCTTCCTCTCTGTACAAAATCAATAAAATATATTTAAAAAAAAAATAAAAATAAATAAATAAATAAAAATAAAACGCCGTGGGACAAATTGTTAAAAATCGGGACTGACGCCAAGGCCGGTGTGGCTCAGTGGATGGAGCTTCGGTCTGCGGACTGAAGGGTCCCGGGTTCGATTCCGGTCAGGGGCGTGTGCCGTGGTTGCGGGCACATCCCCGGTGGGGGGTGTGCAGGAGGCAGCTGATCGATGATTCTCTCTCATCGATGTTTCTAGTGCTCTATCCCTCTCCCTTCCTCTCTGTGGGAAAATCAATAAAAATTTTTTTAAAAAAAAAACCGGGACTGTCCCGCCGAAAGCGGGACGTCTGGTCACCTTATCGTAGAAGCGTCTGTGACTGTAACGGGCAGAGCGCCCTCCCCGGCCGGACGCCCTCGTGGCCTCCCCCAGCGAGCGGAATCACCTCTGCTTCCCCGCGTTCAGGGAGAGCTCGTCCACCAGGACGTCGTAGTGCGTTCTGATGTCGTCCAGGCACCCGTTGTCCCCGAACGCGCCCCACTCCATGTTGATGCACATCCGGCCCTCGTTGCCCTCCACCATCTCCACGTTCTTCATCTCCTCCATGTAGCAGGCGTTGCTGCCCGTCCCTGCGGCACCGGAGGGGACACAATGAGCCGTCCCCGAGGCCGGGGCTTCCAGAGAGGGGGGCAAAGTAAATAGCGTCCCTTTCCCAACGTTTCCCAGGAAAAAAAACACCTCAAAACGTAAAAGGAGGGTCCGATCTAAGCCATCCAGAGCATTTGATTAACTCGCTTTGTACGAAGACGTCAATGCCAAGAGCCTCCTGTCTCCTGCCCAGGAACACAGGACTGTGTTTATTTTAATGGGAGGCGGTCTTACAAGAAAGGGATGGATCTTCAATGGCGGGCATTTAGGCTTTATTTAGATTGGGAGGATATTTCTCTCTCCCACTTCCTGCTCCCTCTTCACACACACACAAACACACACACACACACACACAATATTGGGGGTTGTCTACTATTATACCAGAGATGTCCACTTATCTTTTCTTCTTTTGTTGTGTGGTGGGTTTTTGTTGTTGTTGTTAAGCCTCATCCGAGGATATTTTTCCATAGACTTTTTTACCTTTTTTTTTTTTTTAATATATTTTTTATTGATTTTTTTACAGAGAGGAAGGAAGAGGGATAGAGCGCTAGAAACATGGATGAGAGAGAAACATCGACCAGCTGCCTCCTGCACACCCCCTACCGGGCATGTGCCCGCAACCAAGGTACATGCCCCTGACCGGAATCGAACCTGGGACCTTTCAGTCCGCAGACCGACACTCTATCCACTGAGCCAAACCGGTTTCAGCTCCATAGACTTTTTGAGAGAGTGGAAGGGGGAGAGGCAGAGAGAGAGAGAAACATCAATGTGAGAGACACATTGATTGGTTACCTCCGGCATGTGTCCTGACCTGGCTGGGGATTAAGCCTACTACCGAGGTACATGTCCTTGACCAGAATTGAACCCAGGACGCTTCAACCCGAGGACCAATGCTCTATCCACTGAGCCAAATCGTAGGGGCACTTATCTTTTCCTATCAAAGACGGCCACGGACTCTGGCTGCTCAGTAACCGCTCCTGAGTGTTCCAGAATGAAGCTCACAGTGGACCCTGCAGGACACTGTCCTGAGCGTTTGAAAGCAGCCTTTGTAAGGTGACGACCCTTCACACTTTGGTACCACAGACCTTTCTGAAAATCTGACCATTTTCCTGAGGACCTTTCCCCTGGGTGCGCCACACGCTGTACACACACAACATGACCAACAGATTCCGGAGCCTCAGGAGCCTCTAATATCCATCCCTGAACCGCCCCAGAGAAGGCAGCTCAGACCCAGTGGGACCACAAACTGTTTGCTGTTCTCATCCATGAGGAGTTAAGTAAAGAAATTGAGAGGAAGTCATTGAAAACTTTCACAGACTTTTAATTGCCATGATATCCAAGCTTGTGGTCATTGGCCTTTTCTCAGTGAATGGACTGAACATTTAAAAACCAACCCACTGGACTGGCTCAGTTGGTTGAGCCTCGTCCTTTGCAACAAAAGGCTGTCAGTTTGATTCCCAGGCAGGACACAAACCTGGGTTTTGTTCAATCCCCCATTGGAAATGCATACGAAGACAACGGACCAATGTTTATTTTTCTCTCACCCTCCTTTCCTCTCTCTAAGCATGTCCTCGGGTGAGGGTTAAACAAACAAACAAACAAACAAAAACCAACCAACTAACCGAGAAGACCCTAGTAAAGAAATTTTAAATGTGCTCCTGAATCCCCTGGAAAGCCTGCTAGTGAAGATGCAGATTTCAATTCAGGTCTGGGGTGGGGCCTGAGACTCTGCATTTCTGATACTCCCGCAGGTGGCGCCGAGGCTGCTGGCCCGTGGACCACACGTTGAGTAGCAAGGCCCTGGAGCACCATCAGCCGGGCAGAATGCAGATACAGCTGGATTTTCACCAGGAGGGAACACAGGGGCATCCCTACTGGCTAGACCAGTGGTCCGCAAACCACAGCTCGCAAACCACATGTGGTTCTTTGGCCCCTTGAGTGTGGCTCTTCCACAAAATACCTCGGCCTGGGTGAGTCTATTTTGAAGAAGTGGTATTAGAAGAAGTTTAAGTTTAAAAGATTTTGCTCTCAAAAGAAATTTCAATCCTTGTACTGTTGATATTTTGGCTCTGTTGACTAATGAGTTTGCCGACCATTGTCCTAGACCAAAAGGTCTTTGCCATACCTGAAGCAGAATTCATAAGCTTCTGGCTGTGTAACTGGATTGTTTTTGTGTTCTCATCTCCCTTTCACCTACAGTATAAATGGAAGTGGGTGCAAAGAAAGCAGACTAGCCAAAACCGGTTTAGCTCAGTGGATAGCACGTCAGCCTGCGGATTGAAAGGTCCCAGGTTCAATTCCGGTCAAGGGCATGTACCTTGGTTGCAGGCACATCCCCAGTAGGGGGTGTGTAGGAGGCAGCTGATCGATGTTTCTAGCTCTCTCTCTCTCTCCTTTCCTCTCTGTAAAAAATCAATAATATATATATATATATATACACACACATATTTTTTTTTTTTTTAAAGAAAGCCAGACCATAAAAACCATACTTTTGGCCCCTGGGAGTTCTGAGCAGAGCGCTCGATGAGCAGGGAAGTAAAATGTGGCTTTTGGTGCAGCTGGAGCTGTGGAGAACCCCACCCCGCCCGCCTCTCCTCTGTGCCAGGAGCAGCTACCTGGGCGGCCCTGACCCCCAGGCGCAAAGGTGAGGCCTGACCTGGAAGTGGAGAATGTGCTGTGTCACTCTGGCTTTGCATTTCACGCCCAAGCCCATTCAGAAAGAGAGAGGGAGGGGTTGGGTGGAGAAAGCTTTGCAAAGCAAAGGAAGAAACAAATAAGCCCAAAGCCAGGCCCCCAGAAACCTTTCACCTGGAGCTGCTCCCCGCTTCTTTGAATTTCCACAGGAGCCCAACGTGGTTTAACCAATAAAAAGTCCTCTCTGGCTCCCGGGGCAGCCGGCTGGGCTTTTCCCAGCTCCATCCCAGCACTCGGGGAGAGGCCCACGCAGCCTGTCCACGTCGCATCTGCAGATGTTGGCTGAGAACCGGGGTTCTTTTCCCAGCACCCCCTGACACCAGGAGCAGCAGGTCCAGTTAGACAAGTGGTTTTCCCACAGCCCAAATCAGTATGCTTCCTGAAGTATGACAGCAACCATACTTAGGTAAGAACTGCTGTTTGAATTTTAACCCTGCTATTCTGGCTTCTGCACTCACTCACTCGCTTGCTTAAACAATAGGGTAGTTGCCTCAGCTTCCAGACTGAGACCTGGAAACTCACAGAGGTAACTTTCCTGTGCCTGTGGACCGGGACCACAAGAGACAGATTCCCACTGACTCAGTAGCTCCAGGAGTTAAAACTGCAGATAACCTTAAGAGATTAATTTGGCTCGGTTCTGCTCCTGTATTATTTGCTATCGCAAGATAGGGCCAGCAGGACGTTGTTCCCAGCCTTTAGAATTTAGAACTTAGAACAATGGAACATTTTTGTGGTTTAGACCTTTAAAAGGACTGCCTGCGCCTGGAACGGCCAGTCTTGAGTGTGTACTCCACCTGCGTGTGGTACTCTCACGGCTGTCCTGGCCAGTTCAATAAATCCTTGCCTGTTTTTTAATCAATTAGCAGCCTCCGGTGGTCTTATTTTGACTTTAGGGTTTGACCCCACAACACTTCTGGAATCAGTGCTCCTAAGACCCAAGCCCCTAACGTGCTTGGGCAATAAGAGGACAACCTGCAAAGTCAGCAGACGGCCCTTCTCAACCCACGTCAGGGGCTAGGACTGCTAACAGTGGCTGCTGGCACCCAGGACGACTCTCCAGCTCCTTCCCATGGTCAGGCCGGAGGAGTCCGCCTCTCCCTTCCAGGTCACAGGCTGGCAACACCTGCCTGGAGCTTCTCCACACCAGCTCCCGTGCTCCCACCCATCCACCCGGCCACGCGAGCCACATGAGACCTCCTCTCTGGAAAGCTCTGCTCAGTCTGGTTACTGTCGCCGTGGCAGGTGCTGGGGAGGGAGTCCCTGCAGGGTTCTGGAGCCTCGGTCAAGGAAAAAGCTCTGGAGGTGCCAAGGGGACAGGACTGTCAAATCCCATCTCACACAGAGGGCTGAGCTGCTGGTTCAAGGCCCCACAAAACAGGAACCCCAGCCCTCCTTGCCCCGCGGAGAGAGACCTTCCAGGACACCCACCTACGATGAGTCCAACCTCACAGCTGGGCTCCTCATAAGCACAGGTCATCATGGTGCCCACTGTGTCGTTGACCACAGCCACCACGTCCAGCTCAAACTCCTGAGGAGAGAAACCGACACAGCATGAGCTCTAAATGTTGAATGGATAAAAGGCGAGGGACTTAGCCCCAAAGCTCTTTCTCTTGGGGTTTAAAGCCTTATACCCTTCCAGAGGGCAAAATGCAAAGACCAAACCCACGTCTCACTCAGAATCTGTCTTTCAGAAATCGCCGTGCAGGTACACAAAGGAACGTGCACAGGGGTATTTACTGCATGACTTGCATGAGCCAGAACAAGAAGCCACCCAGAAACGGACCAAAAGGAGCTGTGGGAACCATGGTCCAGAAGAACCAGGACTTGCTGTGTGAAGTCACTAGGTTCAGAGTGGCTTCCAATGCAACGATATGAAGTAACTTACACGTGGGGACATATTCATGCCACACACATTCATTGCTCCAAGGACCCACCCGAGAACCCCTTAGAATCCCCACAGGCGTCAAGAAAATACGCCCGATGCAGCCACGCAAAGATGTCTGCTTCCTATTAAATTTAAAAAGAGCAACTTGTTATCTAGCATATGTGGTCTGATTACAATTTTAAAAAGTGTGTGTTGGTCTATGCATGGAAAGTAAGTTGGGGGAACACTAACATTGAGCTGTGAAATGGGCAAAAAGAGATCATCGGGTTTCTTCTCAATGACATAGTAGCTGCTGGCTAGCATACCCTTCAGGTGCGACCGGTCCCTCCTTCACACCCATTCACTTCAGCCTTCCTGGTCACCTAGGTATTTATTTGTCTGCTCTTTTAAGCTGGAAGTGTGTGTGTGTGTGTGTGTGTGTGTGTGTGTGTGTGTCTTAACTTCTTACTGATTCCCTGATTAATTAACGAGTTAAATAAAATCTCTGGAATTTTTCACTTTCTACTTTGTCAATGTTCTCCAGCCAGAGGCCGGCAGAAACAGCTGTGGTGGAACAGAGCTGGACTCCTGACTGGATGTGATTGGGAGAACACCTCCCATGGGGCGCCTTGGCCTGTCAGCCCTGCTTCTAGGATCCGAGCCCGGGGAGGATGGCTTCAGGGAGCGGTCAGAGAAGGGGCGCTGCGGTCTGGGTTGGAGGCTGTGCGGGAAGCAGGCAATCCTTTGCGTGTGTGCTGAGCTTGCCGTGATGGACGGTCACCAGTGGCTGCGGTGATGTTTGTGTTCTGTGAGGCTGTTGTGTCCCACAGGAGGACACCAGGTCTGACGGTAGCACCAGGCTCTTTGGAGGAGGTAGTGACTTCACCTTGTCAAGCAAACTGTCCTTTAACAACTCCAAACTGCTCACCTCTGTCTTTCTGCCGGCTGCTGGGGGAATTCCCACCCAGGCCATGTGCCTCTGGGTTGTTTGGGTTCTTTGTGACCAGCAAGCAGGATTCTTAGAACCCAAAGGCACCGTCAGCACGTTTAAAAACAGCTCTGCCATAGTTACCTCTCTCCTTTTCACCGCGTCCCGCAGTAAGGTGGCCACGTCGTGCCCCACGCAGTCGGTGGCCTTGAACCCCTTCGTCCAGGTGATCAAGATTCCCTGAAACAGGAGAGGCACCGGAGAGGCCTGTGAAATGAGCCTCTAGCAGCCGAACACAAAATTCCTTCCCTTCCTGAGTCCACTATGTGCTGAGACTGTACAGCGAGACTATGCTGGGGAAACGGAGGCACAAACCAATAAAACGCGGATCGTCCTCCACAGGCCTGACTCCTCCTCACCATCCTCACAGCCGTCGGTTTATAGCCCCCATTTCACAGATGGAGAAACTGAGGCATGGGATGTGAAAGGTGCTGCCCCTGATATAACCAACGAGTTCCCCAACAACCTACATGGAGAAATGCTCGTTTTTAGTAGCACTGTCACTACCGGAAGTAAAACCGATTGGGCAGCAGGGATGCCGCTGGTGGGTGTGTACGTGAACTGCAAAGCACACGCTTGTATGGATCCAACTGCTAGCACAGAACAGGCCGTAAGAGGGGGAAAAACAAAAACAAAAAACAAGTCAGCACTGTCCCTGCATTAACTGGCTTCCAGAGGCAGGTGCCCGACCTGGCGTGCCTAGTTCTGCCAATCATATGCCTCAAAGCCTGACCCAAGGCCAAGTGTGATGCAAGGTCCCCTCCAGGGCCTCCACCCTGGCCAGGCATCACCTGTGACACGCAGAGGCCCTGTGGCTCTTTCTGTGAGGCAGGCCTGCTCTTGCCTCCGTGACTCTGCAAAATAGGTTCCCTCTGCACAGAGCATGGCCAACCGACGGACCGCCCCAGCACAGTGCTGGCTGCTGGGAGGCCGGGCTCTCAGAACGGCAGGCTCCCTGAGGACAGACACTGGACCTTCAGCTCCACCCAGTTATCCATACTCAGCAGCTGCTCAGCCCTGACCCCACGCAGGCAGTGACCTTTCCATCCCATTTCCTGAACATTTCCATGTTGACTCTGTTCCATCTCATTTATTGAACATTTACCAAGTATTTCTTCCAATAGCTCTCTGTGCTGGGGCATGTGGGAAACTAAGGTTACCGCTAATAACTGCAGGAGGTGCTACGATCGGACAACGCTAAGAGGAACAGGGAACACGGTGGAGGGTGCTGTTCTCTTTGTCTGAAGGACAGAATACTCCCCCCCGCAAAGGTAAACGCTTTAAATGATAAGAGTCTGAAGATGTCCTGGAGGGCGTGGCATAAAGCCTGGGTCGCCCGCCCGCCTGTGACATCTGGGCCGTGCGGACCCTGAGGAATGACAGCGAGGCTGGAGGAGGCCCCAGGGCCAGCTCACGCCGGCCAGCGCACAGTCAGCACTGCCCCGTGTCTGACTCACTCACCGCATCCAAGCTCTTCTGGCTGCAAGGGAACGAGAAGGTGAAGCCCAGCGGCATGCGGGGGCCTTTGATCCCCATGTAGTCCAGGAAGTCGGAGATGCAGGACACGATGTGGTCAAACAGCTTTAGGAGGAAAGAGCGGATTGCGTGTGTGTTCCCTGGTTTCATACTTCGAATGCACTCACACAAATGGACACGGACGCACACACAGACACACACCCCGACACGTCAGAGCACGCCCCCCTCTCCGGCGTCCCCTGAGCACCGTCAGCCCAGCGTGGCTGACGTGCCTGCTGCTTTCGGGCCACAGAGACACCTGCAGGCTGCAGGCATCACCTGGCAGGGGCTGGGGCCCACCATGCCGCCGGACACACACACAACATGGTGATGTAGAAGCAAAGCGGTCTCACCTCCTCCCCCGTGCCCTGCATGATCTCGATGGGGATGGCATAGATCTTGTTGTGCATTTCCACCGTTCTCTTCTTCCCACTGCGGATCTTCACCAGCAGGACGCGGAAGTTCGTTCCTCCGAGATCCAGGGCCAGGAAGTCACCATTCTCTGCCGTGGACAAGAACAGGAAGACTCTCAAAAGCAGCCAGGTGCCTCCAGGCCACCAGGGACCCTAGGACTCCAGGCTTTCAAGGGGGAGCCCCCCGCCCCCATATTCAATAAGGGGGAGGAGCTCTAAGTCTCTCCTCCAGCACACAGCTCAGGCTCAGAGGCGGGTGGCCACTCACGCACGGACCACCACACCCTGTGAGCCATGACAAGGACAGAAGGCCCCGCCGATGAACCAGTCTTCACCACAAACACGCTTCACCGGGGTTTACTGAAACACCTGGCCACACCCTCATGATGGGAAACCTCACACAAAGATGAATAACATCTGTCCGTGTGTACGGAGCCTGCAGACATGGCCACCGTCCTTCCCCTCCCTGTCCACGTGCTGCTTTGCAAAAGTGACCGCAGCTCTTCCCGTTAAAAGGTGGAGTCTGTTTCTCCGCCCCTGGGATCTGGCCTGGCCAAGGACTTGCTTTGTTGGCCAACCGTGTGGCAGAAGCCACACTGAGCCAATCCCAGCCCAGGCCTCCAAGAGGCTTCCAAGTCCCTCTCCGCCCCCCCCCCCCCCGGTGGACCCCGCTACTACCTCATGAACAAGCCCCCTGTGGCCCACTGGAGGGGGACACACACAGCCAGGCTCTCCTGCACCCCAGCTGCTGCTAACCAACTGCCCGACATGTGAGGGGGGACCCTCAGCTGACCCACCAGTAGTGGCTGCGGACACATGAGTGAGTCCAGCCAAGATCAGCCGAGCCGGGCCCAGGGGAGCCACCATACACGGCTGACCCACAGACTCCCAGGCAATAACGAGTGGTTGCTGTGTGAAGTCACTAGGTTCAGAGTGGCTTCCAATGCAGCGATATGAAGTGACTCACACGTGGGACATATCCATGTCGCACACATTCATTGCTCCAAGGACCCACCGAGAAGCCCTCTAGAGTTCCCACAGCGGTCCGCTCCAATGACACCCAGCAAGGTGGGCGTGAAGGGCTGGCCGCCCGCCGTTCTCCCATCTGCCTGCCTGCCTCATGCACCCCATCGGGGCGTAGGAGGGAGGGGTGCGTGGGTGTTATCCCACTGGCGTACCGTGTGTGAGACAACCTATCGTGTTTCGGGGAGCAGGGTGTGCCCAGCTCGGTTCAGGAAGGACCCTTTGTAACTCTCAGCGGGCTGTGGTCTGAGAGAAGGCGCCTGCCCAGGACGCCCGGCCAGGGACGTCCACTGCCCCGAGCCACACACGGGCAAGGCAGCGATCAAAATGAAAAAAAGCGAGTGTGAGCCTAGACTGGTCTGGCTCAGTGGATAGAGCGTCAGTCTGCGGACTGAAGGGTCCGGGTTCGGTTCCGGTCAAGGGCATGCACCTTGGTTGCGGGCACATCCCCGGCAAGGGGTGTGCAGGAGGCAGCTGATCGATGCTTCTCTCTCATCGATGTTTCTAACTCTTTATCCCTCTCCCTTCCTCTCTGTAAAAAAATCAATAAAATATATTAAAAAAAGAAAAGAAAAAAGCGAGTGTGAGTGACTGTCTGGCTCTTGCCAAAACCATGCAACGCCAGTGCCCATGCACCCGCCCAACAAGCCAACCTCCCTGCTGCCCGCCGTGCCCTGGTCACTGGTGCGAGCAGCAGGAGGGCCCCGGGGCCCGCGGAGGCCTCACCGGTCCCGTCCGGCGTGCTGCGGACGAAGGAGGGCAGCATCTTCACCACGGCCTTGTCGTTGGTCTTCTTCTTCAGCCCCATCTCCATCTCGGCCCGCATCCTCTTCTTCACCTCCAGCAGCTTCTCCTTGGTGAGGCGGAAGTGCGCCAGCGTCTCCTCGATCTGCCGGTGCTGCTCCGCCAGGCGGTAGGCCACGGCGGTCACCATGGCCGCCCCCTTGCCGCTGCCGCTCTCCGACAGGAGGAAACGCACGTCGCAGTCGGGCACCAAGCGCCGCAGGGTCTTGTGGAAACGACGGGAAAACCTGGAAGGGAGGGACGGGGGCCACAAGAGCCGGACTGAGCCATCTCTCAGGAACCTCCTGTACCCCCCTTTTTCTTTTCTCACACATTTTTAAAAAACATATGTTTTATTGATTTTTTTACTGAGAGGAAGAGAGAGGAATGGAGAGTGAGAAACATCGATGAGAGAGAATCATCCATCAGCTGCCTCTTGCACACCCCCTACTGGGGATGTGCCCACAACAGCCGATCAACGATTCTCTCTCATCATTGATGTTTCTCTCTCCCTCCCACCCTCCCTCTTTCTTTCTTTCTTTCTTTTTTTTTTTTTTAAATATATTTTTATTGATTTAAGAGAGGGAGGGAGGGAGGGAGGGAGGGAGGGAGGGAGGGAGGGAGAGAGAGAGGGAGAGAGAGGGAGAAACATGCCCTTGACCGAAATCAAACCTAGGACCCTTGAGTCTGTGGGCAGATGCTCTATCCACTGAGCTAAACCGGTTTTGGCTCTCACACATTTTTAAAAAACATATATTTTATTGATTTTTTGCAGAGAGAAAGGGAGAGGGATAGAGAGTTAGAAACATCGATCAGCTGCCTCCTGCACACCCCCCACTGGGGATGTGCCCGCAACCAAGGTACATGCCCTTGACCAGAATCGAACCTGAGACCTTTCAGTCCGCAGGCCGACGCTCTATCCACTGAGCCAAACCGGTTTTGGCTCCTTTCCCACACTTCAATTCCATTTCCTACACTGGCTCTTCTCATTAGCCAGGCACACACGCCCGCTGTGGGGAAGTTAAACGCAGACATGCGGGAAAGAGACAGAATCACTCATTGTCACACGGAAAAGGAGAGGGTTCTCGTTATCACACGAGCATCGAACATGGACATTCAGGGTCCACAGAGGATCCTGTCCTCCGCCACGAAGAGGAGAGACGGCACGGCGCGCAGAGCCCAGAGCTGGCGTGTCAGGTGAGGGGAGTGCGTGGGGAGCCCCGGCTCCTCCCCATCAGGGCCGCGGGCCTGGGCCGAACCTTGGGGTTCCGAGGATGCCAGCGATGTGCGGGGACTAACGGCGCTCATTCAACGCTTAGATCAGAGGCTGCCATGAGGGCGAGGGTTCGGGGATCACTCCTGCTCTTCACTTTCCCGTGGGCCTTCCCCCCGCCCCAGGGTCTGGGCGTTCTCAGTGGCTAGAAGAGGACTCGAGGACAGGACTCACGGGGACACAGGACTTTCCCGGAGTCTGTGGTCTGCTGTATGGAGGGAAGGCTGCCTGCCAAAGGAAACAGGGTAGCAGGCACCCCGAAATACTAACAGCGGTCAACTCCGGGGGCGGGCTTAAAATGACTTCTGTTCCCTGTGTAACTTTTTAAATTATCTCCAGTGTCTTGCCAAAACCGGTTTGGCTCAGTGGATAGAGCTTCGGCCTGCGGACTCAAGGGTCTCAGGTTTGATTCCAGTCATGGGCATGTACCTTGGTTGTAGGCACATCCCCAGTAGGGGGTGTGCAAAAGGCAGCTGATCGATGTTTCTCTCTCATTGATGTTTCTAACTCTCTATCCCTCTCTCTTCCTCTCTGTAAAAAATCAATAAAATATATATATTTTTAATTATCTCCAGTGTCTAGACCGAACATATGTTACTTCTAAGAAACACTTAGCCACAGTTATCTTTTAACCCCCTTGTACGCCATAAGCGTCTACAGACGCATTATATTAAAAATATCAGGGCGTGCGGGGGTGGTCTCAGTTGGGATGCGTGGTAGTGAACTGGTTAAACGTGGGGGTGCAGGTGAAGAGTTCTGGAGATGGCTGGCCGGCGGCAGCAGCTGCTCCACAGCGTGACGGTACTCATACTGCTGAACTGCACCCTCAGCACTGGCTCAGAGAGGGAATTATGTGTCCATATTATGTGTTTTTGCCACAATTTTAAAAACATTTTTAAAAAATATATATTTCATTGATTTTTTTTTTTTAACAAAGAGGAAGGGAGAGGGATAGAGAGTTAGAAACATCGATCAGCTGCCTCCTGCACGCCCCCTAGCTGGGTATGTGCCCGCAACCAAGGTACATGCCCTTGACAGGAACTGAACCTGGGACCCTTCAGTCTGCAGGCTGACGCTCTATCTACTGAGCCAAACCGGTTAGGTCTTAAAAACTTTTTAAATGTCACGTTGCAAGTCTCTAAGCTTCCTTGTCTAACACTTTTCTAAGAAATCCTCTCCAACCACCACCAAGATAGCACGTTCCAATGTAAAAAATGTACAAAGACTCGAAAAACACAAAGAAGTGAAAGATGACCCTGACAGATAATAATAGCTCACTGGCTCACAGCCTATCCCCTCAGCACCTACTTCCGGGTGAGCCAGCCTCCATTCTCCTGTCACTAGATCAGGGTATGAAGGTGAGCATCCCCTGCGAGGCCCCCCCACCTGCACATCACACATCCCGGGGGGAAAGCACCTGCGATTCTGCACAAAAGCCATGTCCTAGGACAGTGGTCAGCAAACTGTGGCTTGCGAGCCACATGTGGCTCTTTGGCCCCTTGAGTGTGGCTTTTCCACAAAATACCACGGCCTAGGTGAGTCTATTTTGAAGAAGTAGCATTAGAAGTTTAAAAAAATTTGGCTCTCAAAAGAAATTTCAATCGTCGTACAGTTTGATAATTGGCTGTTGACTAATGAGTTTGCCGACCAATGCCCTAGGCCGTGACTTTTGTGCAGAATCGTTCAGACTCAGCATGAAGGCTTAGCATTCACCTCCGGCCTTTTACAAGGGGAAGCCATGTCCTCAGTGGCCTCCGGGGGCTGTGGCATCGGATCAGGAATGTGGGCGCTGCACCTAAGACCCAGGCTTCCGTGAGGATCCAGGTCCCTGATGACATGAGGACCAGCGAGAGAACTGAGGATGCAGACACATCCCACCCAGCGCTCCTGGCCGCCGCAGAAATCACTAGCAAACCTCACGAAATGAGAGAGAGGACAGTGCCGGGCAGAACACCACCGGCGAGAAACGGCTGAGGGCCGGACCCTTCCCAGGCGGGCGACCCCGACCTTCCTGCCCAGAACCAGGCCCTGTCTCATCCGCAAAAAAAAAAAAAAAAAACTCCCACTGGGTGCAGAAGCCCGACCTCTGGAGCAGGTCCTCAGCCCAGACGGGGACGGATGCCAACGACAGCAAAGGGCGGACTCACTGTGGGTGCGTCTTGTAAAGAGACCCGTCGACACCAACCGTGGTCCGCAGCCTGGGGACGCCCTTGTTATCTCGGAGGCGATTCAGGATGGCGCCCAGCGCCGCCGCCACCAGGTTGGCCGAGCGGAACGAGACGATGGTGCACACGTGCTGGACGGAAACGCAGTCGACATCGGACGGCTCCACGCCCAGGCGGGTGAGGATGTCTTTGGCGTTGCTGAGGCCTTCCTTGTTCCTGCAGAGAGAGAGAGAGAGAGGGGGCCTCGTGTGAGTGAAGGACCTCGCCGGGCAGCGCAGAGCATCAAGGGCCCGGGTCCTGGAACGGGGCCCACCATGCCCCAGAGTGGGCGGTGGGCGTGGTGCGGAGACAGACAGGAGCGTGAAAGGAGGTCCTCTCCCCGAGAGAGCAGCCAGGCGGTGAGAAATGGAGCTCTGCTGGGTGAGGACGTATACATGTAAGACATGGAGAGGCGAGACTGCGGGGCCTCTGGTCAGGTGGAGACACAGCAGCTTCCAGCCCGGGCTCACAGTCAGGGGCCCGGGAGAGTCGCCCGGTCTCCCCGTCTGTGCGCTGCCGCTGCTGGATGCTCCCACATCCTTCCTCGATGCTGTCCAACCAAACTGTAATTTTCTGCACACACGCTTTGTATATCTATTGCTGACGTCGTTCCAAGGTACTTTACAGATTTGTTACTATTATAGGTGGTGTTTTTATATATTTACACACACACACACACACACACACACACATATGTATATATACATATGTATTTTTTTTCCCTTTAATGTACCACAGTAAAGTCAGATGTGAACAATGGGAGACACTGCGTGAGGGATTGTGGAACCACTCTGTACTATCCTCGCCATTTTTCTGTAAATCTAAAAATACCCTAAAATAAAAGGCTTATTTTAAGCATACAGACCTATTTTTATTAGTGCCAATATATATAGAAATGTAATTGACTTTTGTATCTTCTCCCCAGACACCTTCCTCACCTCTCCTGTTGTCCCAGTCACTCGTCCAGCTGTGTCTCAGTGTTTCTCATCTGCATATTATGACAGTGTTACCTCCTCTTTTTTTCTTTTAATTCTCATGCCTGTAATTTCTCTTTCTCTTTCTTTTATCTATTTTTGCTGTTGCTAATCCTCACCTGAGGATATTTTTCCATTGATTTTTAGAGAGAGTGGAAGTGGAAGGGGAAGAGACAAACAGAGAGAGAAACATCGATGTGAGAGAGACACGGGCCAGGATCGAGCCTGCAACCAAGGTACGTTGCCCTTGACTACAACCGAACCTGCGGCCCAACACTCTCCACTGAGCCACGCCGGCCGGGCTCCTTCTTACTCTTTTAAACACTAGCTAAGACTCCGGGGCAATGCTGAACAAAAACGGGTGATGCTGTCTCGCTCCTGACTTTAAAGAGAATGCCTGGGGCTCCTGTCCTTGCAGAGTGCTTTCATGGGCATTTTTAAGAAAGCCTTTATGACAATACACAGGCTTTCTTGAGCTAGAGCTCAAGTGTTTTTTTTTTTGTTTCTTGGTCACCAAAAAGCCAACACGAGACTCGGGCCCCGGAGGAAGGCAGGCACTTCCTGGCTTTGTCAGTGAGCCTCAAGACAAGCCACGAGCATCCTGCCCCTCCCCGCCAGCAGCTGACCAGGAGGCGTGAAGGGCGGTTGGCTAGAAACAGTCCCAGGCTCCCTGCTCCCGAGCTCAGCACCAATCACTCCTCGGACAAACGCCAGCACAGCCTGTGGCAGGACAGCCGGCCAGACAGACTCCTTCCCACTTCCCTCAGCCTCCTCCACCGCAGGCAGCTCGTGCGCCTCTTCTCCCGGCAGCCGGAGCTAGGAAGCACGGACTCGCTGACATCCAGGACCACAGCACGGGCCGCGGGAACGGCCACCTTGTGTGGGGAGGAGGGGGCGTTTCGAGCCCCAAGCTGGCCCTAGCTTTCAAGCAGGAGTCTCCCGACCAGGAACTGAACCCGCGGCGCACAGAAGCCAGCCACAAGCCGGAGTCCTGGAGCTCGGGGCGCCTGACGACAACTGCCACAGGACAGAGGTTACCCGCTTCCCGCTCGGGGCGAAGGCCTGCCAACAGCAGTCTCGGCAGAGAAGTCTGGGTTTCTTACGTTGAGGCCAAAAGGTCGCAGTCAGGTTGCTGGCTGGAGTCTCTGTTCTCCTGTGTCTATCTGTCCTGTCTCACGTGCTAAGCACCGTTTCTCAAACTTGAGCCAGGGAACACGTCTTCTGGCTGCTAACCAAAGTGAGCTGGGTTCTCTTGACTAAGCTAAGACACTGTAAATCTCTAAAGGGTGGATAAATATGCAGTATTTCCCAACCCGACTGGCCACACACCCTTTTCTTCAGGGTTCATATGCAGTATTTCCCAACCCTTTCCACAGAACAACTGTCTTCAGTCACTAGGGTTCCTTGGAAGAATAGTCTGGAGGTCTGATACCCCCAGGAGGAATTCCAAATCCAGACCCTGGGCTCGGTCAGCTCCTTGTTCACCGCTAGGATCCCCTCTAACCTCACCCTTTCATGGGGGAAGGGGAGGGAAGAGGGGGCTGCTTCTGCAACTACCGTATTTTTCGGACCATAAGACGCACTTTTTTCCCCCAGAAGTGGGGGGGAAAAGTCCCTGCGTCTTATGGTCCAAATATAGCCTACACATATACTTTAAAAAAAAAAGTTTTTTTACTTGCCCAGCTCTGTGTGGTCTCTGTGTGCTTGCCCAGCTCTAAAATGGTTCTAAATGCTGCTGTTTACTTTACAGGGTTGATTACATGTGTTTATGACTGTGATGTTGGGTTTTAATGCACATAAAATATTTTAGGACACTATTTGTTTCAGAATCTTTTTTTCTTCATTTCCCTTCTCTAAAAACTGGTGCGTCTTATGGTCCGGAGCGTCTTATGGTCCGAAAAATACGGTATGTCATCCATGAAGCATACACTGCTGACTAGGACATTCTTTTTCTTTTAAAAAAAAAAAATGTTTTTACTAATTCCAGAGAGAGGTAAGGAGAGGGAGAGAGGGAGAGAAACATCAATGAGAGAGAGAGAGAGAGAGAGAATATGAATCATGGATCGGCTGCCTCCTGCACACCCTCTCCTGGGGATCGGGCCCACAACCAGGGGAATCGAACTGTGACCTCCTGGGTCATGGGTCGAAGCTCACACTGAGCCACGCCGGCCGGGCTAGACCATTCTTTAATGTGCTGACACCAGGCAGACCAGCCCTGCCGGGAGACCAGCCCAGGGCGGGACAGCGAAGACGGGAGAGAGATGGACCATGGGGGCCCTGGGTCCTGAGGGAGAAGCCCACCAAACCAGGACTCGCACGTAAAGAGGGACCTGTCACTCCTCTGCCCCCACGGCCCCCCAGAGCCTCCAGGGATAGCACCTACTTTTCAATGGCTGACACGTCGCTGGTGTTAAACTTGCCCCTGGTGAGCAGCTCCGGGGTGATGCGCCCTTCGAACAGCAGGCCCTCCTTGGCCATCTTGACCAGGATCAGGCGAACCAGCTCCCCCAGGTACATGCCGCTGACCATCTTCTCAAACCTGCAGGAGGAGGGCGCCCAGGCGCTCGTCAGGCCCTTCACCCCGGGCACCTCGGGGGAGCGGGGCAGACACAGGAGACGCGCCTCATCCCTCAGCAGCTCGCAGCCTCGCGGGCAGGCAAGGCCACACACGTGTGAATAAGCGCCAAGGGGATGCCAGGGGGAGCTGATGCCAGGGGGTCATGCCCAGGGGGCCCACAGGAGGCGAGCACCCCGGGGCAGGCAGGGGAAACGTTAGGACCTAGAAATGAGCAGAGTACCCTCACCTCTTACAGAACTTGATGCTATACTTAAAAAAAAAAAAAAAAATGGTTTTAATTTATTTGAGAGAGGAAGGGAGAGGGGGAGAGAGATAGAAACATCAATGATAAGAGAGAACCGCTGATTGTCTGCCTCCTGCATGCCCCACACTGGGAATCAAACCCGCAACCCTGGGCACGTGCCCTGACCGGGAATCGAACCGTGACCTCCTGGTTCATAGGGCAATGCTCAACTACTGAGCCACACAGGCCGGACCAATGCTGTACTTTTAAAGGGCTTCTCATCCCCATCGCTCTCTCGGACAGATGGCCCAGGCCTGTGGGAAGGAGGTGGCCGGGGAGCATTCTCTCCGTTTCCCAGCTCAGGGGGTGAATGGCTGCTCGGAGGGAATGCTGAGTGGATGACGGGGCTGAACTGAAGCCATTCCCACGGGACCCGTCACTGGCCACTCCCTGGCATTCATGGTCTCCCTCTCCAGCCTAAAGGGCCAAGACGAGTCTGCTTTGAGGAACCCACTTCTCCCCGACTGACCTCACCCTCACCCTCACCCTGGGGCAGGCCTCTGAGTGGCTTAAAGCCCATCAGCTCATGGCACTGCGCTGGCCACATTCAGTCACAGGCCGGTCCCAGAGGGGGCCCCCCTCTCGCCGCCCCTGGGAGGTGAGGTGGGAGGTGCGGGCTCGGTAACTGCAGCCGCCCGGTGCTGCATGGGAGTGCGCGCTGAAAACGGGGATTGGTGCCATGAGGAGGGGCCAAGAGAAAGCCCTCAGCAGAACGGATCAGAGAGGCAGGTCCACGCCGGGCCTGTCCTCTGAGGGCCCAGCTGGCACGCCCAGCGCTGGCTGTGACACAGCAAAACAACCTGTTCCATTCAGAGACGCGCCCGGAAGCCACAGAGGCTGCTGGACCTGAGCCCGGCCCTCCCTCATCCGTCAACACGGGCCCCGAGAAACACCGTCCGCATTGTTCACGCTCCTGCAGGACCAGACAGGACCGCCCCGGCCACGCATGAGGAGGGTCCTGGCAGGAGAGCGCCTTTCTGAGTCTTCCGTGCCCGCCTGCCCCCCCCCCCCAAGGGCCCACTGGAGTGGCCTCTGGGCGACCTGAGCCTGCAGGAGCCGGGGCAGAGTCCACGGCGGGGGTCCCCCCACAGGAGAGACGGACGGTGCACATCTGACGGGCTTCTTGCTCTGCGGGCACCAGGCGTTCTGCCCCTTCGGCCCCCACCCCGAACCTCGAGCTCAGTGCCCCCCGGGGCACACAGGCGGCCAGCGCGGACAGGCGGGCGGGACTCACAGCTGCTTGCCCGGGTTGAGGGAGCCCCGGTCGATCTCGCGGTCGAACTCCGTGCGGACGTCCTCCAGGGCCCCGTCGTCCCCGAAGGCCCCCCACTCGGTGTTGATGCACATGCGCCCCTCGTCGCCCTCCACCAGGTCGATGTGCCTCAGCTCCTCCATGTAGCAGGCGTTGGTGCCGGTGCCTCGGGGAGAGACAGACGGGAGCGGAAGCTGTGACCACAGCCGCCCGAGGTCACCGAGGGGCGGCGGGGCCGGAGGGAGGGCCGGGGACACGGGGCGGGGGCGTTACCGATGATGAGGCCGACTTCACAGTGCTGGTCGTCGTAGCCACACGTCATCATGGTCCCCACCGTGTCGTTCACCACGGCCACGATGTTGGCATCGTAATCCTGGGGGACAGACAGCAGGACGTCACCGCCCACCCCCACGTGGGGGCAGGGGTCACAGCCTTAAAGAGAAAGAGGCCTGGCCCGGTTTCTCCCTGCGGTGAGAGCAGTGGCCTGCGGACGGAAGGGTCCCGGGTTCGATTCCAGGCAAGGGCACGTACCTCCGTTGCAGGCTCCATCCCCGGCCCTCGGTCGGAGTGCATGCAGGAGGCAGCCAATGGATGTGTCTCTCTCACAACAACGTTTCTCTCTCTCTCTCTCTTTCTCCTGGGCCCTTCCATTCTCTCTCTCAAAAAAAAAGGAAGAAAATATCCTCGAATGAGGATTAACAAAAAGAGGAGAGGGAGAGAGAGAGAGAGAGAGAGAGAGAGAGGTTTTCATAACCTGGAGGAGGGGCCGCTTTCATCCCTGATGGCACCCCCATTAACTGGACCAAGTCCAGTGACTAAATTATAGAAATTGCACCGTTTATTATCTGACTTAAGATTCTCCTCCGTGTGGATTTATACGCAGAGCCACAGCCCTCTACTAACCACCCCGCTACATCCATGCGCTGGCATCCGGCTTCCCACCACGCAGCCTGCACCGGCTCACGCGGATGCCTGCGCGGCCCAGCCCTCCTCTGTCAGGGGCGGCCTCCCCCGCCTCAGAGAGCTCTGTGTCCGACACCCCCTTCTGGACTGCGTCCCCTCACCACCTGCTTCTTCCTGGGCCTTCAAGACCTCGCGCGTGATGCCTCATGCCATGCACCATGCCCCCACCGCCCCACTCCCAAAAGCGTTGTTTTAGAACACAGATTTCTCCCCATTCACCCCACCCACCCCCCACTCCCACCCCCGTGTGGCCAAGGCATTGGCCTGAGAGAAGTTACCCCGCGTTTTTTGATGGCTTTGTTAAGCAGCTTCACCACGTCCGCTCCCTCCACTCCGCTCGCTTTAAACCGCTTCGTCCAGGTGATCAGGATGCCCTGCAAAGGAGAGCAGATGGGGTTGGACCAAGAAGGCTGGGGGGCCCCCCAGAACCCCCAGGCCCTGGGGGAGACTGCTCAAGGGCAGAGACAGAGCAGAGGCCCCGAGGACCGAGGGGCTGGCTCCAGACACACCGGGTAACAGGACCAGACCGTCCCATTTCCTGAAGACCTGCCTGACTTTAACGCATGGTTCTCTCGACCTGATGGCCACAAATATCATCACCTCCCATTCGTGCCTACAAAGCTTCTAAAACAATGTAAGACGTGCAGCCTGGCCAGTGTGGCTCAGTTGGTTGAGCCCTGTCCCATGCACCAAGGGGTCAACGGCTCGATTCCCAGTCAGGGCACATGCCTGGGTTACGGGGTCAGTCCACAGTGGGGGGCGTGCAGGAGGCAGCTGGTCAATGGTTGCCTCTCATCAATGTTTTTTTCTCTCTCTCTCCCTCTCCAAGATCAATTTTAAAATGTGTGTGTGTGTGTGTGTGTATATATATATATATATATATATATACATACATATATATATATGGCACGCAGACCATCCCATAAACAAAAGGGAAAAGTAGTCAAGAAAAGGGGTTCGTGAGCTTCTGCCCTCCGGGGCTCCCCTGCAGCCTGGGAATCCCGGAATGAACTCACCTCATCTATCTTGGACTGGCGACAAGGGAAGGAAAACGTGAGTCCCACGGGCAGTTTCTTGTCCTTGATGTGTTTTTTCTCCATGAAGTCTCCCAGGCACTCAGCGACATGGTCGAAAAGCTGGAGAAAGCAGAGCCGTCAGGAGGGAGAACAGCAGCTCAGGGGACACGCGGACGGCACGGCGCCCTGAGGCCCCGCTTGAAAAGCCGCGGCAAGTGGGAATGGCAGAGACACGTCCCTTAGCACAGCCTGCCTGCGGGCCAGCCCGGCTGAGGGGGCGTTTCAAACCCTCCAGAGAGAGCTGCCCCTTAGCAATCCCTGAAAGGTATGATGTGGGTATTTAAAACATGAAAAACCTTTTAAATAGTAAAACTCATCATTTAATTTTTTTTGTAATTAAAAATAATAGAAAATCGGCTCATCCCTCTGTCATGTCACACAGTCTCCATCAGCCCCTTCTCAGAAGTCATCGCTCCCACCTCCCTTTCCCCGGATGTCTCTATCCATCTCCCTCCCTCTGCAAATCCCGGACAGATTGCTAGCGCACCTGGGCGGTTCAGCCATCTGCAGACGGCCGTATGTATACTTTTCCCTGAAGCATCAGGGACATGCCAAGGAAAGGGCCCACGACCTAAGTGCCGAGCTTACCGGCTTCTCACAAGCTGTATGCCTCTGTGTCACCAGTGTATTAGATCCAGAAAGATGAAGAAACACACGCTATCAGCACAGACACCCCCCTGGAGGCCCCTCCAGTCACAGCCGCCCTGACCTCCGACACTGGTCCTGCCTGCCTACCACGTGTGAACGGAGCGACACGGAGCCCTCGCCGTGACGTGAGTGAGTCAGCCGCCTGTGTGTGTCTCTGTAGCTGTTCCAACTCCCTGCTGCACGGGATTAAGGGGTGAAGAGGCCCTATTTAGTGGACTGCGATCTAAGCTCGCCTGCTCCACCTCACACGGCCGGCCGGGGAGGTGCACACACATCGTAGGACCGACTACGGAGAGCCCGGAGCAGTTCCCTGGCTCTGCACGAAGTCCGTCGGTGATGATGGAGGCTCACCGCCATCGAGGCAATCTTTTTGGACCCAATTCCTCCCTTCCTCCCTAAAATGTACCCAGGACCGAAGCTACTGTTTCCTCTGTGTTCCGGCCAGCGTGCTTAGCGGAATGTACTTGAACTAAGAAGTCCCCTTTTCCTTAACTCTGTGCTCCGCAGCCCAGGCCTCAGCCCGCCCCATCGTCCTCACACGCCGTCAGAGCACCAGCCCCCCCCCCTCCCCCACCATGTGGAGCGGGCACAGCCATGGGGCTTCCTGAGGCCGGAGGAAGGCCAGGCCAGGCCACACGGCACAGGCGGCAGACCCAGGCCTGCTCCAGACAAGGCGTCGGCCTGAAGGCTTTCCTTGCAGGGGCGCCCTTCAGAGGGGACCGGAAGTCATTACTCCTGTCTCCATCTTTCTCCAGATGCCCCAGGCCCAGCTCTGACGTCTGACTTATCTGCCGTGTGGAGAAAACCCTGTCCGTGTGGATGCAGGAGCCCCTGTCCCGGCGTCGCTGGGAGTCAGGCTGTGCCTGCCGCCAGCCAGCAGCCCCGGTGGGGAGACACGGCCACCGCCCCCGGAGGCCCGGCTAAGCTCCCTGTGACCTACTTCTCCGGGGGATCTAAGCCCACTGCGGAGTCCACCCGCCTCCCCCACCTTCACCCGCACACACAGAGAAGGCTGGCAGGCTGCAGAGCGGATTCACATGAGTGGGGTGCACTCACCAGCGCCCTCACGCCCCCCCCCAACTGAGCCCAACAGAACCACCCAAAGTGCTCCGTTAAGAAGGAAATGCCGTGTTTGTGAACTGTCCACCATCCGGGGGCTTCAGGGGGCGGGAAGCCACCCCCACCTCAGGCGAACCATGTCTGGGACCAACCAGGGGAGGAAGTGGCCGGCTTTCTGCACTCAAAGTTTCAGAGTCCGAAAAGCATTGTTTTTCTCTTTTCTGACAACATGCTAGTTATTTCAAAAGTCCCCCCACACACAGACTCAGTTCCTCTGACAGAGAAGGCAAACGATCACTAAAAAAACCCAAAAAAAAAAAACCTAAAAAAAACACTTCTTAATTCAAAACTACCTAAATTAAGTAAGTGATGTCTTAGGATTTCATGCTTCCAAAATTAAAGCTTACAATTGCATCGAAACTAGAGATATCGTGTGTGTGTGTGTGTGTGTGTGTGTGTGTATGTGTGTGTGTGTGTAAAGAGAAAGGGAGGTTAAAGCAAATGGTTAGTTTAGCAATTTGGAAGTCTGGACCAAGGGTTATATGGGAATTCTCTGTGTTTATCTGAAAACTTTTCTGTACGTTCAATATTATTTCAAGCAAACGGTTTACAAATCTATTTAAGAATTCCCACACACTTCAAAAGATGTTATCACAACACCGAGAACTCGTCACTGTTCAGAGTCTGTGAATGTGAGTTGCTTCGTGGGCAAAACAAAGCCCTTAGTTTTCCAGAATACTCTACAGGTCAATACGGGATCTCAGAAAAATGGACCACCCAGAGGTTATTCCTAACTTCACACCAAACTTCTGCCACAGAGGCTCCTGATTCATCCCTGTTTTTCAGCTGGCGACCTTCTCCCTCATCCCCTGCACTTTACCGCCTTGCCCACAGCCCTCACATTTCCTCATCACCAAAAAATGTTTAAATCAATAAAAACAAGACAAAGACAAAGCCCAGGCTGAGAGTGCTCTGTGCTGGTAAACCTGTAACATCTGGAGCCAGAGCGCCTGGGTTCAAATCCCAGCTCTGTCACTTATCCGCTGTGAGACCCCAAGGGCTAGTTACTTAACATCAAGCCTCAATTTTTCTCATCTGTGAAATGGGACTAGTAATACCTACCCAAGAGGGTTGTTGTGATGATTAAGTTAGTTAATCCACAGTAAGCGCTTAGTGACTTATATAGAACAAACGCTATGTATTTACTATAATACTACATCATCATCATCACCATCATCTTTCTTCTTTGCAGACCGGCTGGAAGGGCAGAGAAAACTGACAGCAGGGAGGAAAGTGAACCTGGGGCTGAGGAGATGGGGAAGGAGGCTGGCAGAAACGAGGTCCCAGAGGCAGCAGTTAGAAGGAAGTCATTGTGGCCCAGCTTACGTGGAAAATCACCGTCATGAACCCATGAACCAAAAGGTCAACGGTTCAATTCCCTGTCAGGGCACATGCCCAGGTTGTGCCCTGACTCAATTCCCAGTAGGGGGCATATAGGAGGCAGCTGATCAATGTTTCTCTCTCATCATTGATATTTCTCTCTATCTCTTTCCCTTCCTCTCTCTCTAAAATAAAGAAAAAAATGTTAAAAAAAAAAAAAAAAAAAAAGGAAGAGGAAGAGGAGGAGGAGAAAGTGAACATGGCCAGTATGTACCTGTGGGATAGACACCCCCTTAATTTTCAAACCCTGTGAAGCACACGGGAATGTCGCAGCACAGGGGGACAGTCCCAGGGTGAAGGCAGCAGGCAGAGGTGGCTCAACCCAAGAACCATGAGGACAGGGTGTGCCAGGTCAGTACTTGTTGCCAAATGGAAAGAGCAAAGATGCCAACCCAAGCCCGCTAGCACTGCGGGGGGCGGGGCTCGGAGCCCTACCAGCGGGCAGGGATCATGCCCCATGCCGGATGATTGGGCCAGTTTCTAAGCGGGAAAACTCCAGACAACCCACGTCAGAGGCTGCCTGAACCTCTGGTGGTTCCTCTGTTCCAACGACAGTGTCGCGGCCTGCAAAGCTCTTAACCAAAACCCGCAGAAGCAGGTGAAAGGCCTTTCTCAGAGAGGCAGAGAGCTTGCCCCAGGCCCCTCAGGTTAATTTAGGAACAGAGTGGAGTCAAGAGGAGGTGGCTGCTGGGCCTCGTGGCGAAGTCCAGCCCAGAGCCAATGGGATTTCTGGAGAAATTAGTCATGGACCTGAGTGCGAACACACCCTCCCTCAAGCCAATATTTGGCGATCTCTGAGTCCGTGTCTTGGATGGCAGTCATGACCCGGGAGGCGAGCTGCAAACTGGAGGAGCCAGAACATCCACAGGAATAGGGGCTTACAGGACGCAGACATGACTGGAAACAGGGTCCTCAGCCAGAGACCCACCACTCACCGCAACCAGGCGGGCAGGAGAGGGCGGATGGGTCCTTCTGAGCGTGAGCACGGGCATGGCCACGGCCCCCCGGCCAGCAAAGGCAGGTAGCCCTTGGGGGGGTAGGGGGGCACCCTGAAGGGGGTGGGGCTCTGGTACCGAGTGAGAGAGGAGGGGACGGTGATTTTCCACGTAAGCGCCTGCCCGATTTGCTTTCTGTGCCCGGGACTCACAGAGGCTATTAAATCCGGTGGCCAGGATCCCTCGATTCGCCCTGGGGCTGCAAACGAAAATTCCTGCTGCCTCACGGGTGCCAGCCGCACCCTAGGGGGTGAGGTGGGTGAGGGGGCCGATGACTTGGAAGAGGTGCTTTGACCCAAGGGCTCTGCCAAACCTGCGCTGAGGAAGAACCCCAGGATCCCTGGCCAATGCATGCCTTTCTCCCACAGAGCCGCTGGGCCTCCCTCGTCACACTCCCCGCCTGTGTCAGTCCTGGAGCCCCATCCCCCGGTTCGCCCCGGCAGCGGGTCTCTGCAGGCCACGCCTTCCCCCCGGAGTCCCTCTCCACACGCATGTATGACGGGCTCCCTCCGGAGCTCAGGACACCCGTGCTGCGGGGCCGGGTCCCGGGGGCACCCACCTGGCTCCCGCTGCCGTGCATGATGCTCTCCGGCGTGTCGTACACCTCGGACTCCATCTGCACGTTCTGGTCCTTGTCTAGGCTCACTTGCACCCGCAGGATTCGGAAGAAAGACCCACCAAGGTCCAGGGCGATGAAGTCCCCCTTCTCTGTCCGGGGAGAAAGCAGGCGTTGAGTCAGATCCCGGTCTTAGGAAGGCCCCACACTTGTCCAGCCATCCCCTCCTGGAGGCACAGCTCTTTGGGCTGGGCATCCTGAAAAGCCTCACGGGAGTACAAAAGCCCACCCCACCTTTCTCCAACTCCTGACTGACCCTTTGTCAGAAACAGTGCCACTCCCGGCACATTGAAAATAAAACGAGCATTTCAACTCAGCAAAACCCTACCTCTGAGGTCGTCCCATAACTTGGGTTCCTCGCACGGCAGCTCAGACAGGATTACAGTGAGGCCAGAACTCCACTTATTCCCGAGGGGATTTTTATTATTATTATTATTATTATTATTATTATTATTGTTATTACTGTGGTAAAATATACATAAAATTTGGCCTGGCCAGTGTGGCTCAGTGATTGAGCATGGACCTATGAATCAGGAGGTTATGGTTCAATTCCCCTTCAGGATACAATGCCAAGTTGTGGGCTCGATCCCCAGTGTGGGGCGCGCAGAGGCAGCAGATCAGTGATTCTCTCTCATCATTAATATTTCTCTCTCTCTTTCTCTCTCTCTTCCTCTCTGAAATCAATAAAAATATTGATTTAAAAACCTATGTAAAGATATATACATAAAATTTACTGTTGTAACCATTTTTAAGACTACAATTCAATATACTCCCAATGTTCTACAATCATCACCACTATCTATTTCCAAAACTTTTCACCACCCCAAACAGAAACTTTATAACCATTAAGCAATAACTCCCCATTTCCCCTCCCTCTAGTCCACATGTGTCAAACACAAGGCCCTCGGGCCAAATCCGTCCCGCCAGGCCTTGCAATGTGGCCCGCACCGCGCTGTCATCACTGCACTCTGCTGCGTTTCCATCACAATGACAGTTTATGACTGTTCAGTAAACCATTCGGCCCGCGATTTAGGCTGGATTTTAGATTTTGGCCCCTTCTCTGACTGAGTTCGACACCCCTACTCTAGTCCCTGGTAACCTCTATTCTACTTTCTGTCTCTATAACCTTGCCTATTCAGATATTTCATGTAAGTGAAATCATAGTAGTTGTCCTTTGGAGTCTAGCTTATTTCATTTTGTGTAAAAACTAAAAGTGCCAAAGCCGGTTTGGCTCAGTGGATAGAGCGTCGGTCTGTGGACTGAAGGGTCCCGGGTTCGATTCCGGTCAAGGGCATGTACATTGGTTGCGGGCACATCCCCGGTAGGGGGTGTGCAGAAGGCAGCTGGTCGATGTCTCTCTCTCATTGACGTTTCTAGCTCTCTATCCCTCTCCCTTCCTCTCTGTAAAGAAATCAATAAAATATATTTAAAAAAAACAAAACAAAACAAAAAACTAAAGGTGCATCTGTGTTGTAGCATGTGTCAGGACTTCACTCCTTTTTGAGGCTGTATGTACAGTTCACATTTTGTTATTCCATTCATCTGTCAGTGGACACCTGGGTTATTCCCATCAACGGGTGTTTTTAACAGAAGCCCCTGTCGATCACATAAGAGTAAACTGGCCTCATATCGTTGCATTCCTCAGGGCCAATGCGAGCAATCACTGGGTGGCCTCAACAGCACAGAGAACGATGGTGTGAAACTGTATGCCGAGACCACCACAGAGCACCCAGGGTGGTGGCCACCGGCAGGATGGCAAACCATTAGGCTACCATCCAACATTACCTTATTTCCCGTTAGTTACCCCCACACGAGCTCCCCGAAAATCAGTTAAAATCTGTTAATTTGCCCAGCCAGCTGGTTCAGTGGTTGAGCATTGACCTATGAACCAAGTCACAGTGCAATTCCTGGTCAGGGCACAAACTTGTAAAGAATAAAAGGTTTTAATGTTTATTAAATACAATTTATTTTTTTCTGTTGTGATTTTGGTGTCATTCTCTATGAAGCCATTGCCAAATCCAAGCTCACAAAGATTCACACCTCTATTTCCTTCTAAGATTTTTATAGTTTTAGCTCATCATAACTTTTAATTTGTTATGTGATATGAGATAAAGGTCCCGTTTCATTCTTTTATATGTGGACTAGAGGCCTGGTGCACAAAATTCATGCACAGGGGTGGGGGGGTCCCCTTCAGCCCAGCCTGCACCCTCTCCAATCCAGCCTCCCTCAGGGAATATCCAGCTGCCCGTTTAGGCCCAATCCCTATTTAGGCCAGCCTGATTGCCCCTAACTGCCCCCCACCACAGGCCTGATTGCCCCTCACTGCCCCTCACTTGGTTGCCCCCAACTGGCACCCCCCACTGGCCTGCTTATAGGCAGTCATCTTGTGAGGGTATGATGGTCAATTTGCATATTACCTCTTTATTATATAGGCTAGATATCCCAGCATCGTTTTCTTTGTTCTTTAGTGCAAATAATGAAAATTTGATCTAGTAAACAACTATAAACCACTTGTGCATAGGGAAATCGTAGGCACAAAAGTGAACACCATGCTAGGATAAAATTATGAATGTTTTCATTTTGTTTCAATATTTTAAAAATTAATTTACTGTTTAATGTTTAAATAAATACTTTTTCATGTTTTACACTGGCTCTTCATCATAATTTAAAAAAAAAAAAAAATAGCCCTCAGTAAACACAAGTTCTTGGGCTCAAGTCCCAGGTGACGGAGGCGGAACCTGCTTCGCGGTGCCCGTGCTGACAGCAGGAAGAGTTTCTGCCCCGCATGCAGGAAGGGTCGGCTTCACGCAGTACCTTGGACCCAGGCCTAAAGGTTTCCGAGCAGGGTGAGTGAAAACAACCACAGCCACCTATGACCCAGGAGGAGCCTGGCCGTAGGGTGCCTGGGGCTGGCCCGCACTTCTGCAGACCCCTCCCCGATGGCCGGTCCACCCCGGCCGCTGATGGCCGGTCCACCCCGCCGCCGATGGCCGGTCCACCCCGGCTCGCTGCTGCTGTGTTTTCACCAGCCCAGGTCAGCGGGGAGGTGAGTCAGAAAAGGCAACCAGGAAGGGTGGCCTTGAGATGTCGGGACAATTCCAAGTCCCGGGCACTCCACGCACTGGGAAGTGGGGTGGATGCTGTGCGGGCGGCTTTCCCTGCAGGCAGTTCACACAGGGTCATGTCAGGCCCAGGGCAGCTCCTGGTCCTTCCTGACCAGTGGCCCTCGTTCCAGGGCGTGTTCGTGCCCATAGAATCGGCATTTGGCGCCTCTCCTGTGAATCACGCTTGCAGCTCAGGAAACATGGGACAAACATTAACTCCCTTTCTCCGTTTAGGGATTAGGAAGCTCCAACCAAACCAGCCGAGTGACTGGCTCGTGGTCACACCTGTGGCAAGGCCGGGGCCCCTCCCTTTCTGAGTCACTTGCATCCTTGTAAATGCTGCGATGCTCATTATTTTTTATGGGAATACTAGGGGCCCGATGCAGAAATTCATGTATGGGTACGGTCCCTAGGCCTGGCCAGCGATGAGGGCCAATCTGTGGGGTGGCACCGGCCCACTCACTAGCCAGCCCGGTCCCCCCACTGCCACCAGCTTGCCTGCCAGACCCACCCTCTGCCACCGCCACCGGTCACCGCCCTCTGCAGGGCAACCAGCGGAGTGATTGGGGGAGCCAGCTGGAACCTGCCTTGGCTGGCCTAGGGCCTGCAGGCTGGGGGCAGCTCCTGCATTAAGCATCTTCCCCCAGATGGTCACTGCATGTCATAGTGACCGGTCATTCCACCAGTCGTTCTGCTGTTCAGTCTATTTGCATATTAGGCTTTTATTATATAGGATGTCCTATTTTCCTTAGTTGGATGATAAGCAACTTGAAAAAAAGGGCAACTGAAGATGCCTCCTTCCCTCCCCCAGTACTGAGTACTGCCCACAGCAGGCCATCAGCAAGGTTTGCTGCTAGTTCAGTAAGAACAGCCTGGGTCAGACACATGGCTGTTGGGTCCCATTCTCTGCCACACAAAGGACAACAAGGAATGAACTCCAGTAAGGGCAACGTGGTATCTGGTAAACGTTGTTGCCTGTCTAGTATCTCTTTAGGTAACTCCCTTCCTGATTTATAGCTGAAGTTGGGGTAGAGCTGACAGTGCCGCCCACACCCCCCCGCCCCCCGCTTCAGATCCAGGAGACCAATATGTGACCCAGGAGCATCCAGAGTCACCCACCTTGCCACAAGGATTGGTTCCGGGTGGGCACATGACCCATGCCAGCCAAGCGTCACCCTCTCCAAGACCATCCCTGGGATGGCCAGCTCTGAGGTGAAGTGTGGGCGGAGGCCACCTGAGGAGAGGTGGCCTGAGCAAGAAGCCAACAGAGACTGAAAGAATATTAGGCAGAATATGACTAGATTTCCCAGTTACATGAACCAGAAAAGGCCGCCTTTGCTTATACAAACGAGTTAGATTTCTTTCAGAAAGCTCCCTAGTTCAATTTTGTTTAATCCTCACCCAAGGATACCATATTTTCCGGCGTATAAGACGACCCCCTAATTTTACAGTTAAAACATAGGTTTAGGCCTATATTCGCTGTATAAGACTACCCCCCACTTCTGAGGCAACACCAGTTTTTCGGGATACACTCGGCGTATAAGAAGACCCCCTTCATCTTATACGCCGGAAAATACGGTATGTTTATTGATTTTTTTAGAGAGAGAAGGAAGGAAGAAGGGAGGGAAAAAGGAACATCAATGTGAGAGAGAAATATTGATCAGTTGCCTCCCCTACACACCCTGACCAGGGACTGAACCCGCAACCTAGGTATGTGTCCTGACCAGGCATCAGACCTACGACCTTTTTGGTGTATGGGACAATGCTCCAACAAATCCAAGTTCAATAGTCCTTACTGGGAATACATCCACCAAATACTTGCCCTCATAACAAAGGGGTCCACGTCCCCCTTTCCCTCGGGTTGGCACCCCATTCAGACCTGTGGTGTCCGGTCAGCCCACTGCAGAGGCACCAGAGCTCCATCTCTGGGCTCATCCCCATCTTGGAGCCATCGGAGTCGGGTGAGACAGCCTACCAGTGCTTCCCCC